ATGTAAGTATGAATGCTTCTCTTGCTAGTTGCTACTGGATCATACTGGTTGTTGGTATTCACAATGCGACTAATAGTCTTGTAATGATTTCTGGTTTACTACACTTGTGCGATTCTTTGCACTGCGATGTAATGAAACTTTAATAAGTTCCCTTGATTTGAGAAACCATCTGATAGGCTTTAGTTGAGACTTGAGAGCCTTTGGCTTTAAGGACTCTATAGCAAGCCCCCAAATTTTGGGTTTGGGAATGGGAACAAACACCTTGAAAGCCCAAAGTTAGAACTCAGACTCAAAAGCCATAGATGATGAGTAGCTATTATAGCGTTTTCATTTGATTGGCTGCTACTAATCCATGAGGGACTAAGGCTTTGAAACCCATTAATTCTCTGATAGATATGTCGTAGTTGGACTGGAGATCTTTTTCTGCCTTGTTGTTTTCAACCTTACATGATCATCTTATGGATTCCCGCGTTCTATTCTCTCTTAATACTCACATGCTGGCTGTCCATTTTACAACGAACAGGATTCTTGTCCTTTGATAAAGAATATTCTTCTTCTAGACTCTGAAGGAAAGCGTGTGGCTGTCAAGTATTACTCGGATGATTGGACAACTAATGCTGCTAAGTTAGCTTTTGAAAAATATGTTTTCTCGAAGACTTCGAAGACCAATGCTCGCACGGAAGGTAAGACCAAATTGGAACTTCCTCACATACACATTGTTCATATGTGTAGCTCTCTGTATGTTATATCTTATATGAGTATGAACGCTTCAGCTTTAACTCCCTTGTTGGTAGTCTATTGTTCTGCTGACTGCATATATTCTCTGTTTCAAATAACTTGTAAGTTTGTATAATATTTTTTTCTTTTCTTAATGTTGCATTGTGCAGCGGAGATCACGCTGTTGGAGAATAATATTGTTGTCTATAAGTTCTCCCAGGACCTGCACTTCTTTGTTACAGGAGGTGAAAATGAAAACGAGCTCATCTTATCATCTGTTCTTCAAGGCTTTTTTGATGCTGTTGCATTACTTCTGAGGTATTAACCTCGCCTTAACAATTGACTATGTGCCTTTTCTTGATCAGCAGTAGACGCAATCAACATTTTGCATTCTTTTTCCTTACAGGAACAATGTTGAAAAGATGGAAGCCCTAGAAAACTTGGATCTCATCTTTTTGTGCCTCGATGAGATGGTTGATCAGGGGTACGCCATGATTCTATTCCACAATTCCCTTTCTGTGTTAATCTAACAGTTTAGTCCTGCGCAATAGTTATCTGCAAGTCTTAAACAAGGGTGGGGTACATATAAAAGATTGGGGAGTATGAGAACTTATTGTTTGATCATGTCTGAACACTTCTGACCGTGTGATAAGGTGTTATTGTTAAGTTTAGTGTAGGATTATTGTATAGAGCCTAGGGATGGTGCAGGGAACTGTGGCTTTGCCAGCTCAGCAACAGACCTTAAGCTGGTTAGTTGAGAGCTGAAGGTTTAAAGGAGAGTTATGAGAATTCATTGGGGGAGTTCTGGATTCGGTCAGGGTTTGGTTTGGACACTGATTGAGATAGTTTAGAGGCTTCTTTCGTTAATCAAGCCTTGTTTATGGTGTAATTAATTTATTTGGTTAATTGGATAAAGGAGGTTTGAATCCTATCACTGTGATATTCATGTTTTACGTTGTCTTATGGAATATGTTCAGGATGATACTTGAAACAGACGCAAATGTAATTGCGGGAAAAGTAGCAATGCAGAGCGCAGAAGCAAGTGGTTCACTCTCCGAACAGGTGAGATGCAATATG